ACAAAGAAAACATGCAGTGTTGGTGTGCCGCCAGGAACAGGGTTGGGAAACATTGATATAATGGACTTCAATGGGAACCAAACGGTTCAAGGTCCAAAAGACAGTTTCAGTGCAAACTGTTCAAAGGGCTTTAAACGATTTCAGACGATGAATAAGGGTCTTATCAAGCGAAACAATCACTCATTTAAAAAATATATAAAAAAGTTTAAGTTTTATAAGCTGAAATGCTCGCCTTGCTCTTTTTTGTGATGCGCGTGTGTGACTGTTCTGTCCTGTTCAAACTCGTTCATCAAAATGAACTAATCTTTTTCCAAGTCAATTCGTTAATTTCGTTCGTTGAATCAACCAAATGACACAGAAAAAGATTCGTTCATTTTAATAAACGATTTCGAACAGGAGAGTCACGAACGCGCATAACGGAACAGAGCAAGGCGAGCGTTTGAGCTTATAAAACTTAAACTTTGTTTTTTTGTTTTTTTTTAATGAGTGATTTTTTCGCTTGATAAGACCCTTATTCATCATCTAGAATCGTTTAAAGCCCTTTGAAGCTGCACTGAAAGTGTCTTTTGGACCTTGAACCGTTTGGTTCCCATTGAAGTCCATTATATGGAGAAAAATGCTGGAATGTTTTCATCAAAAACCTTAATTTCTTTTCGACTGAAGAAAGAAAGACATGGACATCTTGGATGAGATGGGGATGAGTAAATTACCCGCAAAAGATTTTTTTAAAAGTTAACTACTCTCGTTTTTGGGTCAAAAATGGGCACCCATAGAAATGAATGGGAAAAACGGCAATTATAGAGCAATCTAAAATAAGCCAAAGTAAGCCACCAGGTGACAGCAAAGTCACTTCATCTTTAGGTTTTAGCTCTAAGAACTTATTGGAATGATATTTTAATGTAGTTAAAAAATGTAAAAAAAAATAAAACATAAAAATAAGCATAATTTACATAGAAAATATGGTACTTTTTGAAGTAAATAAATTCAAAAATACCCCCAAAATAAAAAATCACACCATTAATGGATAGAAAAAACTTTATATAACATTTATGATAAATAAAAATTATGATCACACCTGAGTTCTCTGTGTAATTTGTCCAGAATTACAGGATTAAGGGCTATAAAGTGATTACGGTTTGAGGGCTACAGAAGACTGAAGCGATCACACATTCGTTTACAGATTACAGAGATAATCACTTTTTTTAGTAAATTTATTTTTTCAGAATTGATTAGGAAACAAACCAATACCGATATAGTGGGTCTCCGTCTATTAATTTGGTGCGCAGCTTTCACACTTATTTAAATGAACTGCAATAACAGAATTTGTTTGAGAGTGTGTTGACTCTTGTAGTTTGGTTCTCTTGGTCCTTTTCGTCCGTACTTAAATGGATACTCCACCTAAAATTGAAAATTTTGTTATAATTTATTCACCCTGTATAAGTTTCTTTCTTCTGCCAAACAGGTTGCAATCGTTCTTCAAAATATCTTCCTTTGTGCAATGTGCATACGGGTTTTGCAACAACTCGAGGGTGAGTAAATGATGACATAATTTTCATTTTTGGGTGGAGTGTCCCTTTAAATAGAAAATTATATACATTTAGTCCCGGTACTCTTACTGTAATGTTCATACTGTCATTTTTAACACTGAACCTAAATATGCAAAACAAAAAAACAGGTTTTATGATGTTCATTTTGCAACCGAACATCCAAAACAATGCTGTGTGTATACATAATATAATGGGAGCTTATAAAATGAGCCTATAAAATGTGTAAAGGAGTCAAAACAGAGCCAGGATACAAATGAAGATCTGCTGCCAGGAGATGGCGATTTCGACGCCATTTCATCTTATTTTAGATTTATTTGGTCAGTGTTGTGTTCATATTTCAGTCGATGCACACCTGAGTTTATTTTGATGCAATCCACATTTGTTAGATGAATGCAGAGTTTTAATTTTATAATCATTGTGAATAATATTCTGAATATTCTTATTGTGACTAAAGGGCACAATATATATGACATTTTTTGAACATTTCAAAATGATTTCTATGGTCATGCAGAGAATCGTCTCCCAAGGTTAAAGAATACTGCTGTTTCTATAGAGTTTATATGCCCATCATGATTGTATGATTTTACCCGCATAACAGGACAATTAGATCCTGCTGAAGTCAAAATACCCAAAGATGGGTGTCAAAAACCCATACATAAAGTTTATAACTTTTCACATAATCTGTCAAATCCTATTATCCTCACTGTAGCATGCAATAAATGGAGACACCCCGGGAAACGCAGTCAAGTCAACACTCCAGGCTTATTATGTAAGGCCAAATCTTTTTTTTGTGTATTTGTTCCACTAAAATGACAGTGTAATTCTTCAAGCCAACTCTGAATGTCACAAGAAAGACATCCTTCATCATAACCATTGAACAAAGAGGAACTAAATAACACTTAAATGCCAGGCAGCACCAATGCTGATGTCAACGACTTTTATAAAACATGAATTGCTGTCTGTGGCAGTCATTACAGGGTATTTTGTATTACATAAAGATGCCATTTTTGAAGAATTATGTATTTTCCACATCCTAAATGATATATTATCCTCCCTCTGTGACTTTAAGATTTAGTCACGAACAGAATATGGCTTAATCAACCATCTGTCTTGATTCATGTGGCTCTGGAAATACTGGTTTATGGTGTGTTAAGTTAATGAGACTCAGCAAAAGCGAACTTGTATAAGAAAGGAAGTGAGAGCGACTGCTACATAGAGAGATAAGATCAGGATTACAAAGCCATCAGCATGTACTTACAGGTCTTCCTTATACTAATATTCAAGAGTTGATCAGCCTAAAGAGAGCTGATCTCTTGACACACGGCAGGATCAGACTAAGAAGATTGTTAACAATGGGATGGGATGTTTACCAGAAACTCGATCAGTTCACAGGTCAAATGATGCCACTGATACGGTCACAGTTGCAAATCAAGTTGAAACCGGATCCAGTTTATTTGAACAAAACTCAGGGTACTAAGGATATGGAACAGAACGATCGAAACGCAACATTAACAGACAACTGAAAAGAAGTTGAATACAAAAGATTATATTTTGAAGAATATAATAATTTTATAAGTTAATGGTTACCATCAACTGTCTCTTCACCAACGTTCTTCAAAATATCTTCTTTTGTGTTCAACAGAAGAAATGTATACACGTTTGGAATAACATGAGTAATTGATGACAGAATTTTTATTTTTTGGGTAAACTATCCCTTTAAATACACAGAGCAAACAAAGGAGATAATTAGATTAACTCAACACACCTGAACAGAATACTCAATCAATTAGTAACCAAGGAAACAAACAGTCTGGGAGCCATATAGATATCCATAATAAAGGCTAGATGTCTCGTTTGCGCTGCTGGCCAATGGAGGTCGAAGTCCGCATCTGGCGGCCATCTTGTCACATTCAGATCACTCACTATTTACATAACAATAACTTGCTCAATTTTCTACAGATTTTCAAAAGGTTTGGTTTGTTATAAACATCAGAGATGTAGTTATGACACTCCATAGGTGTATCAATAAATAATCATCCAAAATTATAGCCACGTTAATAATGTATGTTTGAAAGAAACCAAACCATTTGTAAATCCGTCAAGATTTCAACGAGATAAGAGTATTTGTGTTCGTGCTGATCACTCATCTCACATCAGAGCCCGCCAGAAAGCTTGCCTGTGGCAAGATGGCCGCCAGTGATGACGATAGAGACTCCACCGTAAGGATCTAGTCTTTATTATGGATATCTATGCAGGGAACTATTGGAGAACAGAACCAATTAATAAACTAACCTCAAAACACTAGAATAGAACAGTCTTTCTTTTTTATTCACACTACTGGTCAACCATTTGGAAAAATAAAAAATAAAATAAAAATTTTAAGTTTTTGGAAGAAGTTATAAAATTGTCTGTATAATGTACTGAATTGTTGTGATCTGTGCCGCTGTCTTGGCCAGGACGGGATTTTCCTGGTTAAATAAAGGTTAAATAATAAAAAAAAAAGTCTTTTATGCTCACCAAGGCTGCATTTATTTGATCAAAAACAGTAAAAACTGAATATTGCTAAATTTAAATACAATTTAAAATATATATATTTTTAAAGTAATTTATTCCTGTCATGCCAAAGCTGAATTTTTAGAAGCCATTAAACCAGTCTTGTCACATGATCCTTCAGAAATTATTATCAATGTTGAAAAACGGTTGTGCTGCTTAATATTTTTGTGGAAGTGGTGATACCCTACCATTAAAATGCTTGGATAAGTAAGGAAAAAATATATGCAGATTACCTGCAATAAAGACATTTATTTTGTTATGACACATGAAACATGATATTTATTTTAAATAAATACTTTTCTTTTCTGGAAAAACAAATCCTAATAAATTTTCTGGCGGTTTCCACAAAAATATGGGTAGCCATATCCAGTTATGGTTAGAGTTATGGCTGCTAAAAATTCAGCTTCACAATAATATAATTAAAGGTATGTAACAACATTTTTTTTTTTTTTTCAAAATGTACTGAATTTATATCATGAGCGAGTAGATCATGAATCCATCTTCCAAACCGAGTTTTTGTCTTATCCTGAATCACTTCAGTACGTCCTTTAAGTGTTTAAAATCAGACTATTTATCAGACATCTGCTGCGGAGTAGCGCCACCTTGACACGTCATATACGAAAACAGAGAGAAGTAGGTCACATTCAGCTATAACTTGCTTTTAAATTATTGTTTATACATGCTAGTTTCCATGACAGAGTTTCAGATAAATCTTTTCATTACTAGACCTACTGGAGCTGCCATTTTGCTAAGTTTCAAATGATTATTACAGCAAGCACAAACTATGGAAAAGTACTCATATCTTACTCGTTTTCATTCACTTCTAGTGGACTATAAAAGTGTAGGGAACAGTGAAATGAGACAGCTATTTTGAACACACCCACTTACACTTTCTATTTTCATTCTCATCACTTCCTTCTCTGAGTTTACGAGTAGCGTGTGTGTTTGGACAAACAGCATTCCCAAAGGGGTGTCATTGCCGAGAAAGAAGGAAAAAAACAAGACAAAGAGTGTGAAACTTTGCTGGATTGTAACTGACTCCGTCACATTCAAGGTGAGTTACTCTTTCTGCAAATGAATTGGAAATGTAGATAAAGAATAATAATTGTGCCATGGTGAATTCATGTAAAAAAGTGCTGATTTTTCTCTTGGCAATCTAATTTCCGCAAACTGGAATTTTCCCTCCTAAAAGAAACTTTCTGTCTGTTTATATGTATAAACATGCATTGTGAAATAACATTTTTATTAACATTTTTATTATTTGATTTTTCTTAACAAGGGTTTTCACTATAGACAGAGTAAAGTTAGTCTCTGTTAAACTGCCTCTGTAACCCCAGGACAGGTAGGAGACATGCAGCAAGGCAAATGGTAGTAGAGGCTCAATATGTTTTATTAAATAAATAAGGCAAAACAAAAGTTACAAGCAACAGTAACTGATCAAGTATGAGGGAAAACACATGATACACAAGGGCTAATGAATAGGACCAAGAACCAGGAAATAAACCAACTCGGGAATAGATAGATAGAGTTGCTTTATCAGTTAAAGGGATACTCAACCCAAATATGAAAATTCTGTGATCATTTACTCACCCTCTAGTTGTTGCAAACCTGTATGAGTTTCTTCTGATGAACACAAAGGAAGATATTTTGAAGAACGTCTCGGTTACGTATGTAACCCTCGTTCCCTGAGTAGGGAACGGAGACGTTACGTCAGAAGTGACGGAGATTGGGGGATTTCGCATAGAAAGCCAATCCTCTTCGAGTATTAAAACACGAGCCAATGGCATGCAATGCCTTGGGGCTGCGGAAATTTGCATAGCGTACTCCGCCCTACTCCGTGAGTATAAAGGAGGAAGTGAACGCAACCGCAGTATGTCTTCGCTGAGGAGCCAAGACTGAACTCGGCCTCTACCCAGCGGTACAGCAGAAGTGGCAGGGAGACGTAACGTCTCCGTTCCCTACTCAGGGAACGAGGGTTACATACGTAACCGAGACGTTCCCTTTCGTAGTCACTTCGAGTTACGTCAGAAGTGACGGAGATTGGGGGTCTGTGCCATCACGCCATCTTCAAGCTGTCTTCCAGTGCCCTGCGAAAGACTGAACCCCCGAGCCTTACCTCTTTTTTTTTTTTTTTTTTTTTGGGGATCCGACTTTGACACAGGATTACCAAGGTACACTGGGAAACATATCCCGAAGGGGACATGCTAGCAGTTGCCTACCGAAGGGAGGACTTAAGAACACATATGGCCACATAGGAACGCATATGGAACACTGGAGTACCAACCGCAGGTGGCTAATAATTTAAACTCCAGGGGTGGCAGATGGCTTGCCAAGGGAAGACACATGCTCAGAGAGGCTTACAGTGGATAATACACATGAGACGGTTACCAAGGGGAACCGTGCGCATGGAGGCACCTAGCTAGCATCCAGAGCAACAGCAGTGGTGCCCGCATCGTCGGTGCTGGAGGACTCAAGACTTCAATGGAAGAACTGAGGAAATATCGCACTTATCCAGTCCGGGGAGTGGAGTGGCGAGCAAGCGAAGACACCTGAGCGGGTCCAGTACCGGCCGGAACGAGTACGAGAGAGGACACTGGCTCAATTCGCAGATTATAGAATCTGGCGAAGGTGTTGGGTGTCGCCCAGCCTGCAGCTCTGCAGATGTCTGTTAGCGAGGCGCCGTGCGCTAAAGCCCAAGAGGAGGCTACACTCCGAGTGGAATGGGCCGTCACACCAAGGGGGCACGGAAGGCCTTGCTGCTGGTAAGACAAAGCAATGGCATCCACTATCCAGTGGGACAGCCGTTGCTTTGAGAGAGCCCTTCCCGTCTGGCTCCCTCCATAACAGACAAAGAGCTGGTCTGAGGTCCTGAAACACTGCGTCCTGTCGACATAGGTGCGGAGAGCACGTACCGGACAGAGCAGTGCCAAGGCTGGGTCTGCCTCCTCCGGGGGCAGCGCTTGCAGGTTCACCACCTGGTCCCGGAAGGGAGTGGTGGGAACCTTGGGCACATATCCAGGCCGGGGTCTCAGGATCACGTGAGAGTAAGCCGGCCCGAACTCCAGGCACGCTTCGTCAACGGAGAATGCGTGCAGGTCCCCCACCCTCTTGATAGAGGCCAATGCAACCAGGAGTGCTGTCTTCATGGACAGAAACTTTAACTCTACTGATTGCAAAGGCTCAAAGGGATACCTCTGCAGAGCACTTAAAACTACTGAGAGGTCCCAAGAGGGTACGAGGGGAGGACGAGGCGGATGCAGCCTCCTCGCTCCCCTCAGGAACCTGATGACCAGGTCGTGCTTCCCTAAGGACTTACCTTCCACACTTCATGAGAAGCGGCAATGGCCGCGACATAGACTTTAAGGGTGGAGGGCGACAGCCTGCGCTCCAACCCCTCTTGCAGGAAGGAAAGCACGACACTGATCGGACATCTCCGGGGGTCTTCTCTGCGAGAAGAGCACCAATTGACGAAGAGGTTCCACTTCAACGCATAAAGGTGTCTCGTGGACGACGCTCTTGCGGAAGTGATGGTTGCCGCCACCGCAGGTGGCAGCGAACTCAAACCTGCCTCGTCCCATCCAGGAGCCACACGTGCAGCCTCCAAAGATCGGGACGAGGGTGCCACAGAGTGCCCCGTCTCTGAGAGAGTAGGTCTTGTCTCAGAGGAATAGGCCAAGGAGGTGCTGTCGCGAGGAGCATGAGATCGGAGAACCACGTCTTGGTGGGCCAATAGGGGGCTACCAGCAAGACCTGCTCTTCGTCCTCCTTGATCTTGCACAACACCCGTGCAAGGAGGCTCACTGGGGGAAACGCATACTTGCGTGGGCCCCGTGGCCAGCTGTGCGCCAGCGCATCCGAACCGAGAGTGCCCCAGGTCAGAGAATAAAACTGGGCGCAGTGGGCTGAGTCCCGGGAGGCGAACAGATCTATCTGTGCCTCCCCGAACTCTTTCCAGATCAGCTGGACCGACTGGGGATGGAGTCGCCACTCGCCGGAGATAGGACGGACCCGAGACAGCTCGTCGGCTGCCCAGTTCCGGTCTCCGGGGATGTGAACTGCACGAAGGGACCTCAGGTGCTTCTGACTCCATATCAAGAGGTGGCGGGCGAGCTGCGACAACTGGCGCGAGCGTAGACCCCCCTGGTGGTTGATGTACGCTACAGCCGTAGTGTTGTCTGAGCGGACAAGCACATGCTGGCCCTTGAGCAACGCTCTGAAGCGGTGCAGGGCGAGCCGTACTGCCAGCAGCTCGAGGCAATTGATGTGCATGAGGCGCTGGGCCCCCGTCCAGGAGCCGGCGGCTGCATGCCCATTGCACATGGCACCCCAACCCGTGGTAGATGCATCCGTGGAGACGATGAGATGCCTGGAAACTCGCTGAATAGGGACGCCCGTCCGTAAAAAGCTGAGGTTCGACCACGGGAAGAAGGTTCGCCGCATGCCGGAGTCACTGGGACTCGGAGCGAGCCGCGATGCCATGCCCACCTCGGGACTCGATCGCGAAGCCACAGCTGAAGCGGTCTCATATGAAGCAAACCGAGCGGCGTTGCCGCGGCCGCGGATGCCATATGCCCCAGGAGCCTCTGAAAAAGTTTCAGTGGAACCGCACTCTTGCCCTCGAACTGACGAAGACAAGTCAGCAGTGAGTGCGCGCGCTCGTTCGTGAGCTGCGCGGACATGGCGACCGAGTCTATCTCCACGCCGAGAAAAGAGATCCTCTGCACGGGGCAAAGTTTGCTCTTTTCTCGGTTGACCCGAAGGCCCAGACGGGCTAGGTGCCGGAGCACCAAGTCTCTGTGTTCGCAAAGCTGAGCTCGAGAGTGTGCTAATATCAGCCAGTCGTCGAGATAATTCAGGATGCGAACCCCGTGTTCGCGAAGGGGAACAAGGGCTGCCTCGACGATCTTCGTGAAGACGCGAGGGGACAGAGCTAACCCGAATGGGAGAACGGCGTACTGATATGCCTGGCCCTCGAAGGCAAACCGAAGAAACGGTCTGTGTCGAGGTAAGATGGACACATGGAAGTACGCGTCCTTCAGGTCGATCGCTGCAAACCAATCCTGATACCGAACACATTCGAAAATGCGTTTGGCCGTGAGCATTTTGAACGGTAGTCGATGGAGAGAACGGTTCAAAATGCGCAGGTCCAGGATCGGTCGTAACCCACCGGTCTTCTTGGGGACAATGAAGTAGGGGCTGTAAAACCCGGACCTCACCTCGGCTGGAGGGACCGTCTCGATTGCACCCTTCGCCAGCAGGGTCGCAATCTCCGCTCTCAGGACTGGGGCATTGCCACCGACTATCGTGGAGCGAACTCCCCTGAAGCGGGGAGGAGACCGTGCGAACTGAATCGCGTAGCCGAATCTGATCGTTCTGATGACCCAGCGGGATACCCCGGGAAGCGCTAGCCAGGCTTCCCGGAAGTGAGCCAACGGGGTCATGTGAACTACAGACGTCCCCCCGGAGGGGCAGCGTGGCGGGTCGACTGGCACGCGTGCAGGGATGACCCCGCTCGGATGCGTCGAAGCCCGCTCCCCGACAGAAGGGACCAGGGAAAGCGGAGCGTTCCACGGGGGTCCGTTCTGCGGGGGTCTGGCGAGAGAGGGGGAAGGGATTGGTGTAGCCCGGGGACGACACACGCACCCTTCCGCGCCCTCCGAGACAGAGAGGAGTGAGTGGGCCGACACACTGGGGCATCGGGGGCACTCACTCCAGTCTGTGAGCTCAGTGAGGATGTCAAGTCTTTCTTTAACCAGTTCAGGGTGCTGCCCACCCGTGGGTGAGCAGCGGGGAGCTGAGAACAAAAGATTCTCCCCCGGCCCTCCACCGGGGGAAGGAGGGGGCCTGCTACCGCCTCCTGGGAAAGACTCGAGATCAACACTGAGCTGCCCGTGTCAGGATCTTCGCTTGGCCTGGCGTTTAGCGGGGCGAGCGGCCTGAGGGGGCTGTGACGCCGGCCTGCGGCCTCCTCGACGCCGGGGCCCGGGTGAAGGCTGCTGCTGGGGCCGGGCGGGAGGGAGGGGAGCCGCAGGGGGGCGTCCTCGGCGGCGAGCAGGGGGAGGCACCTGTGCCGACGACTGGGTGGAGGCAGCAGCTGGTCGTCGGGGCAGGATGTGTTTAATGGCCTCCGTCTGCTTCTGGGCAGTGGAGAACTGTTGGGCGAAGTCCTCGACCGCACCGCCGAAAAGGCCAACCTGGGATAGCGGAGCGTCGAGCAGACGAGTCCGCTCAGCGCTCCGCGTATCCGCCAGGTTGAGCCACAGATGACGCTCCTGAACCACGCTAGTGGCCATCACCTGACCAACGGCGCGAGCAGCCACTTTCGTTGCCCGGAGAGCAAGGTCAGTGGCGGACCGCAGTTCTTTAAATGCCGTCGGATCAGTCCCGCCCTCGTGCATGTCTCTGAGCAACTTCGCTTGGAAGACCTGCAAAGTGGTCATAGCATGCAGAGCGGAGGCCGCCTGTCCCGCCGCTCTGTAGGATCGCGCCGCCATAGCAGACGAGAACCCACAGGCTTTGGATGGGTGCTTAGGAGGACCACGGGTGGACGCGCTCTGTGGACACAGCTGCATCGCAACAGAGCGCTCCACCGGGGGCATCCCAGTGTACCCACGGGCGGCCCCGCCGTCGAGGGGGGGAAAGGCGGGGGAGAGATCGCGCTCTCGAGTGGACAAAGGAGCCCCCCAAGAGCGCGATAACTCCGCATGCAGCTCGGGGAAAAAAGGTATTGGAGTCGGCCGTGGCTTTGCAGCGGCAGCCTTGTCCAAAAACCAATTATCCATCCGCGAGAGGTCGGGGCAGGATGGAGGTTTCCATTCTAGCCCGATACTCCCAGCGGCTCGAGACAGCATGGCCGTCATCTCGGGATCTGACGCGGACAACGCTGGGACTCCCGAAGGAGGCAACGCAGCCGGATCTTCCTCTCCCGAGGAATCAAGCCCGCCTAGTGATGCTGTGATAGACATCGCATCATCATCTGGGGCGCTGCTCGAAGCAGCCGGTGCCGCCGAAGAGACAACCGACCGAGTCGAACTAGCGCCCGCTGGCTCACGCACTGAGGCGGGAGGTGTGGCCCGAGGAATCGTCGGGGCTTTATCCCACACCGTCACCGTTAGATCGCCCGGTCCCCGGGTCGACGGGCCCCCTTTTGAAAAGGAAGCCGATCGAGTAGGGGGGACCGGGGCTCTCACTCTAGTGAGATCATTGAGCCGCGACCTCAGTGTGGAGATGGTCATGCTCCCACAGAAGGAACATGAGTCATCCACGAACGCCGCTGCTGCATGCTGAATGCCCAAGCAAACAAAGCAGCGTTCGTGACCATCAGATGACGATAGAAGTCTACCACATCCAGAAGGGCACGGGCGAACCATCTTTAAAAAGACGTGCCGCGTGCAGCTCTTTTACAGAGAGGAGAGAAATTCACTCTTTCAGCGCTGAGGCTACCAGGGAGAAGCGCAAAGTCTGGCAAACCACTGCACAGATCGCAGGCAATGCAGAATCTCGCTGGGTACCGCCGTCACACCAACACTGAAGAGGACGCTCGTCTCGAAGAGTCTTGAATCAGCTTTGAGGAGTGAAGAGGTTCTCTTGGCTCCGAAGCGAAAACATACTGCGGTTGCGTTCACTTCCTCCTTTATACTCACGGAGTAGGGCGGAGTACGCTATGCAAATTTCCGCAGCCCCAAGGCATTGCATGCCATTGGCTCGTGTTTTAATACTCGAAGAGGATTGGCTTTCTATGCGAAATCCCCCAATCTCCGTCACTTCTGACGTAACTCGAAGTGACTACGAAAGGGAACGATTGGAACCAAATAGTTGTTTGTCAGCATTGACTTCCATTGTAGGAGAATGGACTTTCATGGAGTATCCCTTTAACAGATTAAACAGCTTAAAGCCACAATATGTATTTGTTCTGCTTTAAAAATAGCAAAAATAACTGTATCTATGTTATATATTTCTATTAGATGTGTACTTACATTATCCCGACAGTTTCCACCAACTTTCAAATACGGAGAAATTTATAGTTTAATTCGAAGACACGGGACGTTTTCCTATTTCCGTTTCGTCGCCCGTCTATGCCGTCATATAACCTTTGACTCCTCTATTTTCTCTAACTTCCTTGCGGAACCAGGCGAAACCGTCAAACACAAAGGGGAACACTGGACTACCGCCAATAAAGCAAAGAAAATGACGAAGAAAAAAAAGCAGTACGTATTTTTATGTGTGTAAATCACGTGCCCGCTCACGAGCGCTCACTCTTAACAGACACTGTCCCCGGTGCTGCTCGCGCATAAAGCGCTCCCCGTTCACAGTAACCGGTTCGTCTCATTCAAATCAGCCAACTGTTGCTGTTAGCGAGCCGCGCACATTGAATACTCTTATGAGTCAGGCTGCGAATGTACGTGCCCGCTTCAGCGCGCTCATGCTTACTAAATAAACGCCTCACCTCCGGCGCCGCGCACTCACTATATTCCCTTTAGCCTTTAGCACATAGTGGATGCATAACGCAAACCCAGTCAAACGTTTGACTGCAGTATCTTTATAGTATCTAAGCAGTATGTGCTTTATAATCCGGTGCGCCCTATAAATGAAAAATGTTCTAAAATAGGTCATTCATTGAAGGAGCGTAATATAAATATTTATATTCGTCTACTGCGGTCTGTATTATAGTTATGGACCACGATTACGCTTTGCCTGCACGTTCTGCTGCTACAGCCAGCTCATTAGCTAAAGCTCAAACAAACGTACCTGAAAAATATGACCCGAGAAGGGTTTGGGACAGGAGAAGCATGACACAGGTAAACATTGGGGTTGCATTTAAAGCTTCTCGACAAGCTAAATCTACAGAGAGATGCCGTATATCCGTATATTTTGTGAAACGATGATGTCATGCCATGAGCAGAGCTGGTTGTCATTGACAGCGACAACAACTCCCGTGAGCCCACGCTCTTTCCCGACGTCATCAAAGTACGTCTTTTGTTATTATTTTAAATGAGTGACCCCTGGTGGCCAAAAATTTCATACTGTACGTTTAAATCCTTGAATACATTTTTTTTGTTGTTTATACATCTCTGACATTTATAACAAACCAAACCGTTTGAAAATCGGTAGAACATTGAGCAAGTTATGGTTTTTAAAAAGTGCATGCACCATTGAAACACAATGTTATGAGTGAGTGATCTGCCTGTGACAAGATGGCCGCCAGATGCGGACTTCGACCTCCAATGGCCGGGAGTGCGGACAAGACATCTAGCCTTTATTATGGATATCTATGGTTTGTTTATAACTATGGATCAAACATGGCTGCAGACGCGAAGTTACCTTTCGATCCTTAGATATTGTTCCAAGTAGTTTAGAACGCAAATAAATCTCTGACCCATCGTCTTCTTCCTCGTCTAATTTCTTTCGCTCGATCTAGTATAATAGAAACGATTGGCCATGAGCTACATACATTCGGATTTGATAGACATTCATAGCACCCAATAAACAGCTCTGGGCATTCGTAAACCACGCCTCAAATATGAGAAAATTAACATATGGTTTGCAAATCACGTCTCAATGTCAATGAGACGTTGTCTGACGTTAGCCAGGCTATGTTTATATCTAAAAATTCTGACTTAATTACACGCAATTGGGAGATATAAAGTCAGAATTGCATGTTAAAATTCAGAATTGTGAGATATAAACGCAATTCTGAGGAAAAACGTCAGTCTTTTTTCCTTAGAACTGGACTTGCAATGCAATTGCGAGTTTATATCACAATTCTGACTTTATAACACGCATTTGTGAGTTTAAATCTCGCAATTCTCATTTTATAATATGACATTGCGAATTTATATCACGCAATTTGACTTTATATCTCGCAATTGTGAGATAAAAAGTCGCAATTATCTTTTAAAATGTTTTATTATGTGGTGAATAAAGAAACAACCCGTAAAACCATACGGGTGTACTAATATGCATTAATTCATACTTAAATAATGCACAGATAGTCATGAGTTAATGTATAAGTATAACTCATGAAGAACTAAACCATTAATTAATGATAACTGCATCAGCAACTAATAAAGAGTATATATGATTAATAGATTAAGTAATAAATGAATTGCTATTAATTCAGTGTGTCATTGTGTATTAATTCCATAATAACATATTTTATTAAATAATAGTGTAAATTAATATGTTAATTACCACAATTAGTCAAAGCTATACACTTCAACTTCTAGTTGTCTGCTTTAATTAATCATTAGCTAATGATTTGCAAAGCTATCATTATGTAATGACTTTACTTGTTGGGGCACATCATTATTAACTAGTCATTTAGTAATTGTAGTAATTTGCAGATGAATTTGCACTAACAATGAAGTAATTAATCATGTATTAATGCATATTAGTGTTCCTGTCATATTATCTGGAAGTTGAAATACAAGGCGTTTGCTCATTCTGGTAATTAACATATTAATAAACAGTATTAGTTATTGGGAATTAATCCACAATTACATATTTAATTAATAACAATTTGTGTATGAACTAATATATTAACCTTACAGACTCTTAATTCCTAATGTGGTAATCATTAATGAATAGCTTAAATAATCATTAGTTACATTAATTCAGGATTAATTAATTAATTCTGTGCATTAGTTAAGCATAAATTAATGCTTATTGGTGCACCCGTATTGTAAAGTGTTACTAAACAAGCTTGCATAGGCAACTTTTTAGATGTCTCCACCAATGTTAAAATTAAAACTGCACCCTTGCCTGTAATGATGCATTTATTAAAATGCTTACTTTGGATGTTCTCGAAATGAAAAGCAGCAAACACAAGAGGACTGGCCATTATAACCTGTTGGAAGGTTAAACTCCCTCTTTTCTATCTCAGATTTGCAGGATGTCTCTGACTATGTCTCAGGGCGAGGGGGTGACCCTGATCACCATCAACTCAAACCCCAACAGCAAATGGCCGATACTATGTCAGATCCTGGGTGCTCTGTGTTACAGTCCAGTGTGTTCTGTGTCACAGCATGCGAAATCAAAGATGATTGGCATCTATATGGCGCTTGGGGTGAGATAGATGCTGAAACAGACATTACAACTAAAGGCTGGAATACACTACATGACTTTAGGCCAGATCTTTACCTCGGTTTTCAGCATTTGGAGTTCACAGATTTTGCCTAAAATCATGTATGATGGTGACCAGATTTCTTTAGCTTCAAGTCAGTGACCAAAGTCGCTTTAAGGCAAGTCATGTAGTTTATTCCAGCCCGTAATATTTATCAAATGGTGATTAAAAGTAAATGGCGTTTTTAGACATGACAAACTATATTTCAACACTGAAATACAATTACACTGTTTATAATTTTCACACACTTTATGAACTTAATACTATGTTAAAAAGTTGTGTTTTTCTGACTTATTTACAAATGGTTATCACTCATGGGTAGAACTCATACTTCACTCAAAAAATGCTGGGTTGTTTTAACCCAACTTTGGGTCAAATATGGACGAACCCAGCCATTGGGTAACTTTTTTTAATTACATTTTTAACCCAACGTTTGGGTTAGTCCATATTTGACCCAAAGTTGGGTTAAAACAACCCAGCATTGGGTTCACTCTAAACAATACTGGGTTGTTTTAACCCAACTTTGGGTCAAATATGGACAACCCCAAATGTTGGGTTAAATATGTAATTTAAATTTTTAACCCAACTTCAATTTTCACTTTCAACTGTACATTTACATTTTAACCCAACATTTGGGGTTGTCCATATTTGACCCAAAGTTGGGTTAAAACAACCCAGCATTGGGTTCACTCTAAACAATGCTGGGTTGTTTTAACCCAAATTTGGGTCAGATATGGACAACCCCAAATGTTGGGTTGAATTGTAAATGAAAGTTGAAAGTGAAAATTGAAGTTGGGTTAAAATTTTAAATTACATTTTTAACCCAACATTTGGGGTTGTCCATATTTGACCCAAAGTTGGGTTAAAACAACCCAGCATTGTTTAGAGTGAACCCAATGCTGGGTTGTTTTAACCCAACTTTGGGTCAAATATGGACACCCCCAAATGTTGGGTTGAATATGTCATTTAAAATTTTAACCCAAGTTCAATTTTCACTTTCAACTGTAAATTTACATTTTTAACCCAACATTTGGGTTTGTCCATATTTGACCCAAACTTGGGTTGAAACCATGCAGCATTGTTTAGAGTGTTGTTGAGCTTCAATGATAATTTAAAGAAAAGTTATAAATGTTGGATATGACTTTGAACTTGACTTTGAAACATTGCAATGAAGGTGATGTAATGTGATTAATGGACAATGCACTGGAAAACATGTAATGATGTACATTTTGAGATTCATCACAATACAAACTGGTGTATAAATTGTTCTTTCATCCCATAGATTGTGCAGATTATAGTAGGAATCCTCAATATTGTGACCGGGATTTTATTTTTAAACTTGGGGATACACGATTACATTATGAGGTCTGATACTCCTCTTTGGTTTGGTGGTGTGGTAAGAATTATTCCTCATTCTGCTTATTATTGTGTTTCTAAATTGTTCTAAATAAGCGAGCCCCTTCACAAAGTTAATCAGAATTCATAACATAAACTTCACATTTTGATGATTTTCAGAATGATGGGAAGCTGGCTGATTGTCAATACTCTAATTAATCTTGTCTGAACTTTCGATGGACAAATTTGAAGAATTGCTTTGCTTTTTATTTTAGTTCATTGTAATTGGAATCCTGTCTATTGTTGCAGCTCAGATTCCCAGTTATTTTCTGGTAGGTCTTTAACCATCACATATAGTACTCTATATTCAGACATCTCTGATTTGGAGAGGGTTTTTTAAGATGTGATTTTTGTATTACAGTGTCTCGTCGCTGTGGTGCTGAACAAAGTCAGTGCTGTTCTGGCTATGGTAGGCCTAGCGTTGTATTCATGGGACTTGATGAGCTTTCAGAGAACAGTAGCTCTGGAATATGAGCATCCGTTTTATATTGGGGTAATTATCCTTTATTTTATTATCCTTAAGGTTTTTATAATTGATTTGTTTGGGGGTTTTTTTCAGTTACACTTTCAAGTCACACGAAGACTCTCAAGTTATATAGCTCAAACCAAATACGCTTTCGGAGAGTCGTTTCACTCGGCGGCCATCTTTGAAACACCGCTCAGGCAGCTATTTCAGTCGTGCCAGTACAGCTCCTATGTTTGATTGGGAAAACATCAATTCCCCAAAGAATTTCCCCAAATTCCCCTAAATGATGCTTTAGGCACCCTTTAGCGTCAGTTAGATGACGCTTTCCTTGTTGTCTAACCCTAACCCTACCCCTGACCTAAACCTACCCGCGTCATGTAACTGGAGCCTAAGCGTCGGATGTTGAAGCATGGTCAAAATTGTCAGTTAGATGACATCTTGTGATGAGAATACGTTGAATTGATTCATTCTTTGAAAATTGTATACTGATTTATGCAATTGCAATGCCTTGATTTTAGTGAAGTTTGTACACAGCCATAAATGCAATGGTACTACACTGTAAAAAAATATTCATGGTTTAACTTGAAAAAGTAAGTAACCTGGTTGCCTTAAAATTTTAAGTTCATTGAACTGGAAAAAGTGAATTAATACAATGAAGGAGATTGATTTAACCATCAGAAACTCAAAATTCTATGTTATCTAAACTAAATAAATTATTTAAGTTGATTTGACAAAAGAAAAAATGTTGTGATTACTAAACTGTAAAAAAATATTGTTGGTTTAACTTAAAAAAGTAAGTAACCTGGGTTGCCTTAAAATTTTAAGTTGATTGAACTGGAAAGAGTGAGTTAATACAATGAAGGAGATTAAGTTAATCATCAGAAACTCAAAATAACAAGTTATCTCAACTAAATAAATTATTATAAAGTTGATTTGACAAAAGAAAATATGTTGTGATAACAAATCTTGAAAATATTTTTTACAGTGTAATAATTGGCGTAATTTGTTTTTCGGCCTTGGTTTCCTCTTTTTCGGTTCCCTTTCGTAGTCACTTCGAGTTACGTCAGAAGTGACGGAGATTGGGGGTTTCGCATAGAAAGCCAATCCTCTTCGAGTATTTAAAAACGAGCCAATGGCATGCAATGCCTTGGGGCTGCGGAAATTTGCATAGCGTACTCCGCCCTACTCCGTGAGTATAAAAGGAGGAAGTGAACGCAACCGCAGTATGTTTTCGCTTCGGAGCCAAGAGAACCTCTTCACTCCTGAAAGCTATTACAAGACTCTTCGAGACGAGCGTCCTCTTCAGTGTTGGTGTGACGGCGGTACCCAGCGAGTTTCTGCATTGCCTGCGATCTGTGCAGTGGTCTGCCAGACTTTGCGCTTCTCCCTGGTCGCCTCAGCGCTGAAAGAGTGAATTTCCTCCTCTCTGTAAAAGAGCTACACGCGGCACGTCTTTTTAAAGACGGTTCGCCCGTGTTCTTCTGGATGCGGTCGATTTCTGTCGTCATCTGATGGTCGCGATCGCTGCTCTGTATGCCTGGGCATTCAGCATGCAGCAGCAGCGTTCGTGGATGACTCATGTTCCTGCTATGGGGACATGACCATCTCCACACTGAGGTTAAAAATATATATATATATATATAAAAAGATATATATATATTTTATATATAAAATATATATTTTTGTATATAAAAAAAAAAAAATCTCACTAGAGTGAGAGCCCCGGTCCCCCTTACTCGATCGGCTTCCTTCACGAAAGGGGGCCCGTCGACCGGGGACCCGGCGAATTAACGGTGACGGTGTTGGATAAAGCCCCGACGATTTCTCGGGCCACACCTCCCGCCTCAGTGCGTGAGCCGATTCAGTCGGCTGCCTCTTCAGTGGTACCGGCTGCTTCGAGCAGCGCTCCAGATGATGATGTGATGTCGATCGCAGCATCACTAGGCGGGCTACAGTCCTCGGGAGATGAGGATGCGGCTGCACTGCCCCCTTCGGGAGAGCCAGCGCTGCCCGTGTCGGATCCCGAGCTGACGGCATGCTGTCTCAAGCCGCTGGGAGTATTGGGTTAGAGTGGCATCCTCCATTCTCCCCCGATCTCTCACGGAGGGATAATTGGTTTTTGGACAAAGCTGCCGCCGCGAGGCCACGGCCAACTCCATTGCCTTTTTTTCCCCGAGCTGCATGCGGAGTTATCACGCTCTTGGGGGACTCCTCTGTCCACTCGAGAGCGCGATCTCTCCCCCGCCTTTCCCCCCTCGATGGTGGGGCCGCCCGTGGGTGCACTGGGATGCCCCCGCTGGAGCGTTCTGTTGCGATACAGCTGTGTCCACGGAGCGCCTCCTCCGTGGTCCTCCTAGGCACCCATCCAAAGCCTGTAGGTTCTCGTCTGCCATGGCGGCGCGTTCCTATAGAGCGGCGGGACGGGCGGCCTCCGCTTTGCATGCGATGAGCACTGTGCAAGCGCAGATGCTCAGAGATATGCTCGAGGGCGGGACTGATCCAACGGCATTCGAAGATTTGCGGTCCGCCACTGACCTTGCTCTCCAAAAGGGCAACGAAAGTGGCCGCTCGCGCCGTTGGTCAGGTGATGGCCACTAGTGTGGTCCAGGAGCGTCAACCTGGCAGACACTCGGAGCGCTGAGCGGATTCGTCTGCTCGACGCCCTTCTCTCCCAGGTTGGCCTTTTTTGGCGGTGCAGTCGAGAACTCTTGCCCAGCAGTCTCCACTGCCCAGGAGCAGACGGAGGCAATCAAACATGTTCTGCCCCGACGACCAGCTGCTGCCTCCACCCAGTCGTCGGCACAGATGCCTCCCGCTGCTCGCCGCCGAGGACGCCCCCCCGCGGCTCCCCTGCCTCCCGCCCCGCCCCAGCAGCAGCCTTCATCCGGGCCACGGCGTGGAGGAGGCCGCCGGCAGGCGTCACAGCCCCCTCAGGCCGCACACCCCGCTAAACGCCAGGTAAGCGATGATCCTGATACGGGCTGCTCAGTGATGGAGTTGAGTTTTTCCCCAGGAGGCGGGAGCAGGCCCCCTCCTGCCCCCGGTGGAGGGCCGGGGGGAAAATCTTTCGTTTTCAGTTCCCGCTGCTCGCCCACGGGTGGGCAGCGCCCTGAGTTGGTTAAGAAAGACTTGACATCATCACTGAGCCCACAGACTGGAATGAGTGCGCTCGACGTTCCAGTGCGTCAGCCCACACATTCCTCTCTGTCTCTGAGGGTGCGGAAGGGTGCGAGTGTCGTCCCCGGGCTACGCCAATCCCTTCCCCCTCTGTCGCCAGACCCCCGGCGGAACGGACCCCCGTGGAACGCTCCGCTTTCCCTGGTCCCTTCCGTCGGGGAGCGGGCTTCGACGCATCCGAGCGGGGTCATCCCTGCACGCGTGCCAGTCGACCCGCCACGCTGCCCCTCCGGGGGGACGTCTGTGGTTCACATGACCCCGTTGGCTCACTTCCTGGAAGCCTGGCTAGTGCTTCCCGGGATATCCCGCTGGGTCATCAGAACGATCAGATTCGGCTACGCGATTCAGTTCGCACGGTCTCCTCCCCGCTTCAGGGGAGTTCGCTCCTCGATAGTTGGTGGCAATGCCCCACTCCTGAGAGCGGAGATTGCGACCCTGCTGGCGAAGGGTGCAATCGAGACGGTCCCTCCAGCCGAGGAAGATGCTCACGGCCAAACGCATTTTCGAATGTGTTCGGTATCAGGATTGGTTTGCAGCGATCGACCTGAAGGACGCGTACTTCCATGTGTCCATCTTACCTCGACACAGACCGTTTCTTCGGTTTGCCTTCGAGGGCCAGGCATATCAGTACGCCGTTCTCCCATTCGGGTTAGCTCTGTCCCCTCGCGTCTTCACGAAGATCGTCGAGGCAGCCCTTGTTCCCCTTCGCGAACACGGGGTTCGCATCCTGAATTATCTCGACGACTGGCTGATACTAGCACACTCTCGAGCTCAGCTTGCGAACACAGAGACTTGGTGCTCCGGCACCTAGCCCGTTTGGGCCTTCGGGTCAACCGGGAAAAGAGCAAACTTTGCCCCGTGCAGAGGATCTCTTTTCTCGGCATGGAGATAGACTCGGTCGCCATGTCCGCGCAGCTCACGAACGAGCGCGCGCACTCACTGCTGGCTTGCCTTCGTCAGTTCGAGGGCAAGAGTGCGGTTCCACTGAAACTTTTTCAGAGGCTCCTGGGGCATATGGCATCCGCGGCCGCGGCAACGCCGCTCGGTTTGCTTCATATGAGACCGCTTCAGCTGTGGCTTCGCGATCGAGTCCCGAGGTGGGCATGGCATCGCGGCTCGCTCCGAGTCCCAGTGACTCCGGCATGCCGGCGAACCTTCTTCCCGTGGTCGAACCTCAGCTTTCTACGGACAGGTGTCCCTATTCAGCGAGTTTCCAGACATCTCGTTGTCTCCACGGATGCATCTACCACGGGTTGGGGTGCCATGTGCAATGGGCATGCAGCCGCCGGTTCCTGGACAGGAGCCCAGCGCCTCATGCACATCAATTGCCTCGAGCTGTTGGCAGTACGGCTCGCCCTGCACCGCTTCCGAGCGTTGCTCAAGGGCCAGCATGTGCTTGTCCGCTCAGACAACACTACGGCAGTAGCGTACATCAACCACCAGGGGGGTCTACGCTCACGCCAGTTGTCGCAGCTCGCCCGCCACCTCTTGATATGGAGTCAGAAGCACCTGAGGTCCCTTCGTGCAGTTTACATTCCTGGAGACCGGAACTGGGCAGCCGACGAGCTGTCCCGGGTCCGTCCCCTCTCCGGCGAATGGCGACTCCATCCCCAGTCGGTCCAGCTGATTTGGGACGAGTTCGGGGAGGCACAGATAGACCTGTTCGCCTCTCGGGACTCGTCCCACTGCGCCCAGTTTTATTCTCTGACCCGCGGCACTCTCGGCTCGGATGCGCTGGCGCACAGCTGGCCACGGGGCCCACGCAAGTATGCGTTTCCCCCAGTGAGCCTCCTTGCACGGGTGTTGTGCAAGATCAAGGAGGACGAGGAGCAGGTCTTGCTGGTAGCCCCCTACTGGCCCACCAAGACGTGGTTCTCCGATCTCTTGCTCCTCGCGACAGCACCTCCTTGGCCTATTCCTCTGAGACAAGACCTACTCTCTCAGAGACGGGGCACTCTGTGGCACCCTCGTCCCGGTCTTTGGAGGCTGCACGTGTGGCTCCTGGACGGGACGAGGCAGGTTTGAGTTCGCTGCCACCTGCGGTGGCGGCAACCATCACTTCCGCAAGAGCGTCGTCCACGAGACACCTTTATGCGTTGAAGTGGAACCTCTTCGTCAATTGGTGCTCTTCTCGCGGAGAAGACCCCCGGAGATGTTCGATCAGTGTCGTGCTTTCCTTCCTGCAAGAAGGGTTGGAGCGCAGGCTGTCGCCCTCCACCCTTAAGGTTTACGTCGCGGCCATTGCCGCTTCTCATGAAGCAGTGGAAGGTAAGTCCTTAGGGAAGCACGACCTGGTCATCAGGTTCCTGAGGGGAGCGAGGAGGCTGCATCCGCCTCGTCCTCCCCTCGTACCCTCTTGGGACCTCTCGGTAGTTTTAAGTGCTCTGCAGAGGCATCCCTTTGAGCCTTTGCAATCGGTAGAGTTAAAGTTTCTGTCCATGAAGACAGCACTCCTGGTTGCATTGGCCTCCATCAAGAGGGTGGGGGACCTGCACGCATTCTCCGTTGACGAAGCGTGCCTGGAGTTCGGGCCGGCTTACTCTCACGTGATCCTGAGACCCCGGCCTGGATATGTGCCCAAGGTTCCCACCACTCCCTTCCGGGACCAGGTAGTGAACCTGCAAGCGCTGCCCCCGGAGGAGGCAGACCCAGCCTTGGCACTGCTCTGTCCGGTACGTGCTCTCCGCACCTATGTCGACAGAACGCAGTGTTTCAGGACCTCAGACCAGCTCTTTGTCTGTCATGGAGGGAGCCAGAAGGGAAGGGCTCTCTCAAAGCAACGGCTGTCCCACTGGATAGTGGATGCCATTGCTTTGTCTTACCAGCAGCAAGGCCTTCCGTGCCCCCTTGGTGTGACGGCCCATTCCACTCGGAGTGTAGCCTCCTCTTGGGCTTTAGCGCACGGCGCCTCGCTAACAGACATCTGCAGAGCTGCAGGCTGGGCGACACCCAACACCTTCGCCAGATTCTATAATCTGCGAATTGAGCCGGTATCCTCTCACGTACTCGTTTCGGCCAGTTCTGGATCCGCTCAGGTGTCTTCGCTTGCTCGCCACTCCACTCCCCGGACTGGATAAGTGCGATATTTCCTCAGTTCTTCCATTGAAGTCTTGAGTCCTCCAGCACCGACGATGCGGGCACCACTGCGTTGCTCTGGATGCTAGCTAGGTGCCTCCATGCGCACGGTTCCCCATGGTAACCGTCTCATGTGTATTATCCACTGTAAGCCTCTCTGAGCATGTGTCTTCCCTTGGCAAGCCATCTGCCACCCCTGGAGTTTAAATCAGTAGCCACCTGCGGTTGGTACTCCAGTGTTCCATATGCGTTCCTATGTGGCCATATGTGTATTCATAAGTCCTCCCTTCGGTAGGCAGCTGGTAGCATGTCCCCTTCGGGATATGTTTCCCAGTGTACCTTGGTAATCCTGTGTCAAAGTCGGATCCCCCAAAAAAAAAAAAAAAAAAAAAAAAAAAAGAGGTAAGGCTCGGGGGTTCAGTCTTTCGCAGGGCACTGGAAGACAGCTTGAAGATGGCGTGATGGCACAGACCCCCAATCTCCGTCACTTCTGACGTAACTCGAAGTGACTACGAAAGGGAACGTCTCGGTTACGTATGTAACCCTCGTTCCCTGAGTAGGGAACGGAGACGTTACGTCTCCCTGCCACTTCTGCTGTATCGCTGGGTAGACGCCGAGTTCAGTCTTGGCTCCTCAGCGAAGACATACTGCGGTTGCGTTCACTTCCTCCTTTTATACTCACGGAGTAGGGCGGAGTACGCTATGCAAATTTCCGCAGCCCCAAGGCATTGCATGCCATTGGCTCGTTTTTAAATACTCGAAGAGGATTGGCTTTCTATGCGAAACCCCCAATCTCCGTCACTTCTGACGTAACGTCTCCGTTCCCTACTCAGGGAACGAGGGTTACATACGTAACCGAGACGTTTTCGGTTTCGGCCACGGTTTTTCATTTCGGTGCATCCATAGTAAATTTCATATTTAAAATCGCCAATGCTCAAATCATGACAAATCACGCATTTTTCAGGCTGAACCAGCCAATGCGCATGTGCAGTCATAAGCGTGTGTCTCAGAAAAACCTTATCTCACTGTAATTCGTACATATTTTACAAGGCGGCTAATTCGTATACTCACTCGTAAGATTTTTGCTAAATAGTTCATATTTTATGAGTTGCCCAATATGAATGAATTCATACTCAATTGGTCGTGAGATAGTGTTGGACTGTTTCTAAAGCAGCCGGAGCTTCAGTGGCACAATGACTTTACCAATTACTGATTGGCTCTTTTGCTTAGAAGGCGGGACTTATTCCGCCATTTTGCGCTCTCATTTCTCTCATTTATAGTAATAATATGAGTGCACCGTCTTTGTATATCTAAAGTCTTTGTTTAAATATGAATGTGGCCCACAAATCAAATTTCTTTTTCTGCTTTGGCAAAAGGATGCTCTGTGAAAAAATAAAAGAGAGGGACAGAGAAAACAAAAAAAAATATTTTACAAATTGTATTTTTAGGGCTGTCAAAGATAATGTGATTGAGCTATTCATTAAAAGTACTTTTAATTAATGTTTATTATTATAATTAAGCAATACTTTTTAACACATTTCCCAAATGTTATATTATTACTGATACATTTTCATTTGTGATTATTTTTTATATAGCCCTTATCGGAAAATGCAGAAAAGTTATGAAATTAAAATGCTATGTGATCATTTCACTTTCCTTGAAACAAACATGAGCATATTTATTTTTCTCTTTTCAGGTTTATACATCTAAGTTAGTCTAGATAAAGAGAGATACACTATCACTTAATGTAAATGTTATATCACCCAGATTTCTAATTTGCTTTGGCTTCAGTAGTGACAAGTAATTCGCTCTTTCCCAACTCTAGATCCGTGAAGGGCTGGATGTCACTATGATGATCTTTTCAGGCCTTCAGCTCAGTGTGACCCTCAGTTTCTCTGTCTTGACTTTGAAAGAATTGTTTGAAATGGATGTGAGTGCAAAGGTGTGTTACAATCACTACAATTAAACTGCAGAGTTCATGGAGACTTCAGAAAGCTGTTCAGTGTATTCATCTTTCTTTCTTTTTTTTCAGTCTGGGAAGGACCTTCACTTTTACAAGCCACTCAAAGAAGATCTCACTGTCAGTCATGTATGTTAGAAAAGCAACAAAGAAAATCGAATGTAGCCTACATTGTAGTGTTGTTATGTACAATTTTCCTCACTTATGGAATCGAAAAAAATTCTTTCTGCAAAAAGACATTGGAGTGGCTTTTTTAAAAATCCATATCCCCTTGTAATTTTCTTGCATTTATAAACCTTTACATGTTCAGTTTACATAAAATCTCTGCCTTCATGTCTCATAACTGACCTTGGACAAAGCTTATTGACCAGACCTGGAACATTCTGGATAATGCATGGTTTCACAGAGAATTTACCTCAAGTTTGAACAAACAACCCACACAGCAACATTGTGCCGGCCCAGATCCGGGCCAGATGTGGGCCGACTCTATTGTTGTCTGGGAACAATCATATCGGCTGGCATAAATGGCAATTAAACAAACCAACGATGTGGAACATGATAACTAGTATGATTCATTCATTTTCTGATATCAGAGCTGAGCAAATAAACACCATTAGTGAGTATTTATGCTGCACTGAGACTTTCAATCATTCCCAAAGGATTTTGAATCTACCTGGTTGGCACAAAGCATGTTTGATATTTTCAATTTAATACAAAGCGCCTCCAAACTGATTTAAATTTTCAGATTTTAATAAAAATATAAATGCAACATTTATTGAGACAAGACAGAGAAAATAGCACTTCAGCTTTAAAAACAATAAATTACGTACACTTTCGGACACTCAATTTATCTTAAAAACCGACTTTAAAGAAAGTGATGTATTATTTATATTTAGCCTCTGCATATTAATGCCCCTATCACAAACTGGACAAATTAATTTTTCAATCAAGTGTTTGTTTGTTTTTTCAATATAAATAAATGTTACGTTTCCATGATAACGGTTTCTCTGGTTAAGGATACCATAATTTTAACATTTCTATAATATTATTATTACATGTCCATATTAACTTAAATGTATGTTTTAACTTTGCTGCCACCCCCCTTTTGAGAATGGGGAAATGGTTGTAATTCAAGAATTCTTTGTTATATAGACCTAAGTTTGGTATTGTTTTAAAGGAAACACTCAGATTATTTCTGAAGTGAAAAGTTATGCCATGTGCGTCGGATTTAGACGCATTGTCAAAAGTGTCAGTTAGATGATGCCCTAGGATGAGAATGTGTTGGTATTTTGACTGTATTTCGCCCCCTCACATTCATGCCATGCTTTGAAACGCAGAGAGTTCAAGGCCAGAACTGAGTGACTAAAATCAATGTGAATGGTAAACACTTCCTGCCAATGTCATTCTCCAATTTAAATCGAATGTCTCAATGAAATGAATGTATATCGAGTGAATAGTTTTAACTCCATGCTAGAGTATAGATGTTTTCATCAGGTGAGGCAAAAGAGATGCTGGCTCCCTCAAAACCTTTAACAGCTCATGTTGTGGTTTATATCTTTAGCTATAGAACCTTGAAGTGTTCTGACAGGCACTTCATATATACACTCACCTAAAGGATTATTAGGAACACCTGTTTAATTTCTCATTAATGCAATTATCTAATCAACATGGCAGTTGCTTCAATGCATTTAGGGGTGTGGTCCTGGTCAAGACAATCTCCTGAACTCCAAACTGAATGTCAGAATGGGAAAGAAAGGGGATTTAAGCAATTTTGAGCGAGGCATGGTTGTTGGTCTCAAGAGTATTTACAATCTGCTCAGTTACTGGGATTTTCACGCACAACCATTTCTAGGGTTTACAAAGAATGGTGTGAAAAGGGAAAAACATCCAGTATGCGGCAGTCCTGTGGGAGAAAATGCCTTGTTGATGCTAGAGGTCAGAGGAGAATGGGCCGACTGATTCAAGCTGATAGAAGAGCAACTTTGACTGAAATAACCACTCGTTACAACCGAGGTATGCAGCAAAGCATTTGTGAAGCCACAACACGCACAACCTTGAGGCGGATGGGCTACAACAGCAGAAGACCCCACCGGGTACGACTCATCTCCACTACAAATAGGAAAAAGAGGCTACAATTTGCAAGAGCTCACCAAAATTGGACAGTTGAAGACTGGAAAAATGTTGCCTGGTCTGATAAGACATTCAGATGGCAGAGTCAGAATTTGGCGTAAACAAAATGAGAACATGGATCCATCATGCCTTGTTCCCACTGTGCAGGCTGGTGGTGGTGGCGTAATGGTGTAGGGGATGTTTTCTTGGCACACTTTAGGCCCCTTAGTGCCAATTGGGCATCGTTTAAATGCCACGGCCAACCTGAGCATTGTGTCATGTCCCTCTCTTTATGGCCACCATGACCCCATCCTCTGATGGCTACTCCCAGCAGAATAATGCACCATGTCACAAAGCTTGAATCATTTCAAATGGGTTTCTTGAACATAACAATGAGTTCACTGTACTAAAATGGCCCCACAGTCACCAGATCTCAACCCAATAGAGCATCTTTGGGATGTGGTGGAACGGGAGCTTCGGGTCCTACAAATCTCCATCAACTGCAAGATGCTATCCTATCAATATGGGCCAACATTTCTAAAGAATACTTTCAGCACCTTGTTGAATCAATGCCACGTAGAATTAAGGCAGGGTATTTGAGGGTATTTCACTATTTGTTGTGGTATGCCTAAAAACACACAGTCTTGCACTTCTGGGCTATTGCGGCGGAGCCATTATTTATATTCATAAAAGCGACTGTTATCATCTCCCCTCACATGCTGCAGGATCAAAACAGCACAAAGTCTTTTTGAAAGAAATTCAATTCAAAAAGTTTTCAGTCAGTAAATTTCAACCATATAGCTAGAATTAAAATGAATGGATGCCTCACAAAATCATTGACTTTGAAAGATTTGAAAAATCATTTGCTCAGCCAAATAGACAAAATGAGAAAATACAGACTTTACTATAACAATTCCTCAAACAAAGCGTTCGATTGGTTCAGAAGGCTTCATATAGTGCACACCACATATGGACCACTATTTTGGTTCTTGATTGGTATTTTTGACCTTTTTGAAGCTTTGTATGGAGATGAACTGCATAAGATTCTCTAAATAACTGCAAGCATCATGAAAGGGAATACATTTCATTTTGGGGGTAAAAGGAGTCTTTTCCAAATTTCTCATAGCATGTGATTTTATTTCTGTGCAGATATGCTAATGACCATATGTTGCACATTAATTGCATATTACCCTCCTGCATCATCTTGAAAAGCGTTCCACAATGCTAACTCTATTTATGTTGTGCGATTTGCTCCTAGAGAGCTGGAGCAGAGCCAAATCCTCATGGAGGAACATAACAAGTGGAAACATGCTGTGCACCGTGAATCTCAAAGACTGAACGAAACCGTGCACTTCCACGTATCACGCGACTCGAGTCTGGGTGAAACATGCTGATTTATCACATGTATTCAGCGCTTCACAGCTTAATGCGGTGAAAGTTTTGCAACAAAACCAGCATCATCCCCAAAGCTGACTATGAGAAAACTACAAGCCCTTGGAATAGGAAGGTATTCAGATATGCTGCTATTTATGTTCTGTTGCTTTGAGATAAAGTCAGTCTGTTGAGTACAGAGCTAATCTTCAGCGAGTGGCCATGAATAAATGGCCCATTTATAAAATGTACTAATGTGTGCTCTAGTATAGTGTTAATTAATGGGTCAAAACCATGGATTTCAACTTCCAACCGTCTTTAACTGGGATTATGAGCCAGGTGAACTGGTGCATGTTACTTAATGCCTTGTTGGTCATGGCTCAGGAATATTTCTGTGGTTACAATTTATTTTGATGGTCTGATTTTGATATTCTATACTAATAAGTAACTTTGGGTAACACTTTAGTTTAGGGTCCAATTCTCGTTATTAGCTACTTGCTTATTAGCATGCATATTACTAGGATATTGGCTGTTTACTAGTACTTGTAAAGCACTTATTCTGTATGAACTTATTCTACATCTGTTAATCCTACCCAATGCCTGGAAAAATGTTGCCTGCTCTGATGAGTCTCGATTTCTGTTGAGACATTCAGATGGTAGAGTCAGAATTTGGTGTAAACAGAATGAGAACATGGATCCATCATGCCTTGTTACCACTGTGCAGGCTGGTGGTGGTGGTGTAATGGTTTTCTTGGCACACTTTAGGCCCCTTAGTGCCAATTGGGTATCGTTTAAATGCCACAGCCTACCTGAGTATTGTTTCTGACCATGTCCATGTCTTTATGGCCACCATTTCCCCATCCTCTGAATATCTTTGTGGTGTTTTGTGAAGATTTGAGTTTGTTCTTGAAAATTAAAGCTAAAAGCTACTGTTCTTTGACCCTGTTTCATCTCCGCTGACACCACAATGCAGTGCTGAAAGTTTTTTTGAATGGCCTTGTGTGAATATGGATTTAAATGGATACAGAATTTATTAGGACAGTTGAAGAATGATTTATTATTTCAGCCATTTTTATTCACTTCTGTTTCAGTAAATGTCACAGCTTTCATGTTTCCCATGTGTCATGTGAAATAGCGGTAACTCTTTCTTTGTGGTTCTCTTAGGGACTTTCTGGGAATAGTCAAAATCAGAACAGTGTTTTCCACACACAGCCGCATGATGTGCGCCGCGTGGTCTTGTGATTTTAAATTATAACAGGAGCATTGAACAAGAGTTAAATATGCCTATATAAACATTTCTTCTTTGAAAAATATTTTTTTAACTTTTAAAGTTGTCTTAATTTTAGCCCTATCGCCTAACGACTACAGCCCCATTGACTCCCTGTGCCAATGCATTGATGAAGTGAACGGTTGGATGTGTCAAAACTTTCTGCAGTTAAACAAAGACAAAACTGAAGTTATTGCGTTTGGAAACAAAGATGAAGTTCTCAAGGTGAATGCATACCTTGACGCTAGGGGTCTAACAACTAAAAATCAAGTCAGGAATCTTGGTGCGGCTCTAGAGTCAGACCTTAGTTTCAATAGTCATGTCAAAGCAATAACTAAATCAGCATACTATCATCTGAAAAATGTTTCAAGAATTAGATGCTTCGTTTCCAGTCAAGACTTAGAGAAACTTGTGCATGCTTTCATCACCAGCAGGGTGGATTACTGTAATGGCCTCCTCACTGGCCTTCCCAAAAAGACCATAAGACAGTTGCAGCTCATACAGAACGCTGCTGCCAGGATTCTGAGCAGGACCAGAAAATATGAACACATCACACCAGTCCTCAGGTCTTTACACTGGCTGCCAGTTACATTTAGGATTGATTTTAAAGTATTATTACTGGTATATAAATAATTTAATGGGTTAGGACCTCAATATATTGCAGATATGCTAACTGATTATAAACAGCTTCCAGAAGAGATCAGGTATGCTCCTACAGTAGTCACATTCAAATCCAGACTCAAAACACATCTGTTTAGCTGTGCATTTACTGAATGAGCACTGTGCCACTGTTCGTCCGACTGTTACTGCACTTCATTTTATTCCAAATGGTTTTAATTTACTGTATTTAATTTTTATCATAATTTTTATTTTTCA